TGCTCCGAGTCCAGCCCCGCGACCGCACCGGGCAGCCGGCCGCTGCGAAGCGCGCGTGGCTGTCAGAGTTGAAATGAGAAAGAAACTCTTTACAACTCCATTTTGGCTTTTACATGTAATGTGAAACATGAATCACCGTTTTATACTGGGTGAAGTCCAGTTATGTGTTGGGTAGGTTTTCTTTTTTAATGCAGTATTCTTGGAGATTGTGTAAGTAAAAGTGTTGAAATCTTGGGTTAGGATTCTTCGGTTATTGCAAAGAGGGAAATTATCCATTTAAAGAACATTTTCATGATTTAAATAGTTTATGTTGGATTAGAATAGTATTGATTTTGCTATTTTGCTTAGTCTAAGTTACTACCTTGATTAGGAATCACCTAAACATCTGTCCTTCGTTACCCATTGGACCCAGTTACAAGTCGCCTTCATTAGATACCACTTCTTGCCCTCAAATTGATTTGCTCAAAATCATGTGTATTAGTTTATGGTGGAAAATTGGCATCCTCTTAACCTCAGAGTTGCTTCCATTTGTGTTTTTTAATGGTTCTGATTTAAAATTTTAACCTGTTGGTGACTTGAGTGTTTAAGACAGTATTTTGGAGTAACTGTTTCTTGTATGTAATCAAATTATATTCTTTCCTGCCACATCTGAAGAGGAAAAAATACTTAAAAATTATTTAATGTTGTATGTGGTGAGAATTTTTCAACCACTAGTTTCACACACCAAATGTGTAATGTGTATGTATCATTGCATGATTGTCACTTTAGACATTGCTAAATTGGTAGAGAGATTTGAGCATTTGGCACAAATAACATTGTTTGGACCGAATATGCAAGACTAAATTCTTAATTGTAAAGGATAACATTTTGAAGCATCTCTGTCGATTGTCTTGAGAGTAGTTAGGGTGTCTCTTGGAGATATAAAATATGTAAGATGGAACTTGTTTTGAGTCAAAATCTGTACTGGAGGGAAGAAGAGAATAGGAATCCAAAGTTTTTTCATAAATCCAGAATTTTAGACCTGAACAGAATCTTCAGGATTTATAGTCCAACCCTATTTGCAGATGAGGAAATTGAGTCCCAGAGTCTTAAGTAATTTCCCGAGGTCACGTGTCTAGTCAGGTGCGGGCCACAGCTATTTTTTCTGTAAGGTATACTCCATGTACACTCAAACACCTTGCTTAAAGTTAGCTTAAATTCAGGACTTAAAATATATTACAGTGTTTTCTCCTTATACATATATGTATATAAAAACATACATATGTATATATATTATATATATAATATATATATAGTGGGAGAATCTGAAAAACTAATTTTCCAAACAAATTTCAGTTCTTTAGCAAAAGCACTTCTCTGTAACCTATGGTCATGTAATAGATGATTGAAATAGGTAAATATATAGGGTCCCTGCCTGGCCTAATTCTAGCTTTAGGTGTCTAGGGTTTCTTGAGTGACCAATTTCTTCCACAGGGAGGCCCCTGACTTCCCTGCTTCAAATCCATCATAATTATTAGATCAGGCTAAGATGTTATCAGGTGACTGTGGACTCTTTTGACTATTGATTTGAGGGAGAAACTACATATATCAAGTAAATAGTTCCTTGTGTGTATGGTAGTGGTTTTGTTGGAGTATTTTCATAGTCCTGATTCCTGTTTTTGTTTGCCAGTTAACTCCTTTTAAAAGTCTGTCCTGGTCATGTGGGGGTGTAAGTTATTAGGAGAGTGAAAACAGGTAGATCTTCAGGTGTTTCCTGTCCATGGGTGGAGTCCAAGCTGTGACAGGAGGAGGAAGTGGGTTGCTACTCTGAGTTTTCTTAATTGTCCTAGAGCTGTGAGATTTGTTAACTGTCAGAAAAAAGACTGATATTTCAGCTTCTAAGAGAACTAATTTGAGCTTGCTGGGCTTCTATTGATAACATCTTGGGTTTAATTGCATCATGGCTACTAGTGATAATGGTAAGTGGTACCTAATCACTGGATTTTAATCACACGTATTTGTAGTTTTAAAAGGTCCTTAAGGATTTCATCTTCCCATACCACTTAGTTTAACCCTTTATGCACCTAGCCAGTGGAACTCAGTTTGCCTATACCTACACATTAATGTAACTAAAGTTTAAACTTGTGTTGATGTCTTACTATACACTCTGCTCTTTGGGGACATGTTGCTGTTAAATACTTGTGAGATTAATAAATTAAAATTTCCAAGACAGTTTCAAGTTATTAATTACTGTAAAATTCCTATTTCAAGCGTTTCTATTTCAAGTGACTCATTTTTTAATCTGTGGTGCTGTATTAATGAGTGAAGGCCTTGTATACTCATAATTATGATAGTCATGTGACTGAAAATCAGATAGGCATTGAAGCTGCTCATTCTGGGTGTTGGTCTGAGTTTATTGGTGCTTTGTCCAGACGATTCTGGGTACATTTTTATAGCTAATAATCAGAATATGAGATGCAGTCTGTTAAATTGCAGCCAGTTTGCAGTTTGTACCAAATTGCGCTTTTTTTTTTTTAAGAGGGTGGGTAAAGTAAATATGTTTAAACATGTTTATGAAGTGTCTTAATATTCAAGTGACGGGAAAGATCATAAACAGCCAATAAAATAGGTTCGGAGTGGAGCTAAGGGAAAATAGGATATAAAATTAGCGAGGTGGGCAAGGACCAGATCACGTAGGTCCTTTAGGACATGAGTTCTTCAGATTTGTTCTGAGATGAGAAATTAATTTTTTTTTAAACGGAGGAATGATATGATCTGATGTTAAACAAATAAGCCACTAGAATTGCTCACTGAAGATAGGGGTAGATTTGATTTTAAGTAATAAGCTAATGCTTATCATTTCTGACAAATATCAGAAGAATTTCTCAGTGTTATTTTTTAATATGATTTTCTGACACTTGTCTTTCAGCCTGTATTATCTCTAATGCCTGTATTACAAAGGAAATAGTTTGATAAAGCAAGTCATTAAAGTGTTCATGGTATTCTAGATGGTAGAGATACAGGTGTTCACTGTAAAATTCTTTTAACTTTGCTGTGTGTTTGAAAATTTTTATAATAAGTTGTCAGAAATTTAACTTACATTCGATTCATCTGCTTTGGGTTTTTTCTTTTAAAAGGGCAACTTTAATTTGTAATATTCAGAATCTAAGGTTGATTTTGTACATTTTAAATGAAAGAGGCCAAGACTTGTATAAATATGATAAATTTTTGTGATATGTTAATTAAAAATAAAATTCTGTACTTTTTCTCTCTCTTGGATTCTAAATTACTACACAGAATTTCAGGCAAGCCCATTTACATCTTGTACTTTTTTTTTTCTGTGTAAAATGAATAGACATAATTCTGATATTTTTTATATTTTTATAGTGCCTTTCATCTGAGAAGTTCAAGGCACTTCGTAGAACTTCTGCCACACAGGCCGTGGGTCTTGCAGCACATTTGTAAGGTATGTAAATTGAAGCCTCTTCTTTCATTCTCCTTTCTCCCCGGAGTAGAGATTATTGTTGTATGTTATATATTAATATAAGTTTTAGGGAAATGTGCGTATATCACTATTAATGATTTTCCTCTCTACCAATCTTGAGATCTTTACCTTACTCTATAGCTTTTCTCTCTGGTCTTATTTTCCTAGCTCTATCTAAGATACTCCTCCAACTTCCTTTTTCTCTTCTAAGTGATACTTCTTCCTTAGTCAAAGATGTATTTCCTAACCTCTTTCTTAATCTTTAAGGAGATGGGCTCAGCATATTACATATTACTTCTCTTACTTGTTGACCTTCCCTCCCATCCTATTCCTGATGTTTTTCTTCTTTAAGTTTTCTTTTATTTTTTGATTGAGTAGTTTGGTCATCTTACAGTTTAGCCACAGCCTGTGCTGTGGACATATCTAATTATCAATAGAAAATGAGCCAGCTATAGAATGAGGAACAGGACAATCTTCTTACCAGAAGAGTCAGCAGTGGTACTGGCTTGGTAGAGAGCACTGTGAACAGCAGGTATAACAGCCCATCCAGCAGCTATTCAGAGATCTTAAACTGATTACAAATAAGGCAAATGGTATCTTAATTTAATGGACACCATGATAAATAGCCTAGTCTGGTACCATTTTGACCACCTTTTCTTAGGTCTGAGGGCACTCTGTGTATGGAAAAATGAACTGTTAAGGGGATTCTTATTTGATGAAATGGGCTACCTGGCAGTGAATGCATATGATGGTAGTGGTTTTGGTTGACTTTGAACTCCTCCTTGGCTTGGTGAGAGGAATGGCCAAATTAGCTTCTGCTTTTGTCATTCTTTCATTAAACCAGTAGTTACTATTGATATACAGTAGCTATTAATATGTCAGGTGCTGTTTTGGGACACAGCCGAAGAAAACAAAAAAGGTCCCTGCCCTCAGGGAGTTTTCTGTTCCTTTATAATATCTTTATTCCTAAAAAAATGAACATTTAGTTTGAACTGAGAAGTCTGTTTTGAATCATTACATCTGCTTTTTTCAGTATTACTGACAAGAAAGCA